CATGGCGACTTATTAGGACCACTATTATTGTGGTCTATCAAATATTGCATCGGACAGGGGTTCCTAATGTGTGTGTCACGATTTTGGAGAGCGTTTAACAAACTGTTGGGTATAGAATAATCATTTTCTTCTTCATACCATCCTCAAACCAATGGTACGGCTGAGAGAGCCAACCAATTGTTGGAACAATATTTGAGATGTTTTATTAATGGCACTCAGGAAAACTGGTCCAATTTGCTTCCATGGGCCAAATTCGTCAGAAATAATGCAACCCATGACTCATCTGGACATAGTCTATTTTTTGTTAACAACAGTCGTCATCCTTCTATTCTCCCTGCGGCATTCTTTGACACTGCTATTTCCGCTCTGGATGACCATCTCACATGTATACGTGAGACTTGAACTAAGGTCCACACGGCATTTGAAACAGCTGCTGCTCGTTTCAAAATGCAAGCTGAGAAGAGGCGTGGTGCCAACCCTGTTTACCAGGTGGGTGACAAGGTATGGTTCTCCACACAGAATATTAAACTCAAGGTTCCTAGCATGAAGTTTGCACCCAGGTTTATTGGCCATCTTTTGAATAATTTACAGGATTAATCCTGTGTCTTATTCTCCTTTCTGCATATACCCAGTATACCCTTCTTATCTGTAACAGGTATACCGCCCATTCGTGTAATAAAAGACTTTGGCTCCATGGCAATTGAACTGTATATGTGTGGTCTGAGTGCCATTCAGTAATAGTGTGCGCTAAGACCCAAGCCATCTGGGGATATGTTGCATGTCTGTATTTTATGTAATAAATGTAACCTTGTGTATTTTATTGTATTTTACTGCCATGTGCTTAATGGAGTTTTGCCTCTGTCCTTGGAGATAATTGGATTACTTCCCAATTATCTCCAGGATAGAGAGGAGGGATTGTGATGTCATTGTGGGAGTGTTTATCTGTGTTGTATGTTTTGATTGGATGTTCCACAGAACCCTGTGGGTGGGACTTTGTCTGTAAAATGTGTATATAAGGCCAATAAAGACACAGCTCAGTCTGTTCACTGCTTGACCCTCAACACGGAGCCTTGTCTCGTTCTTGGGGGAGGGGGGGAATTTACTGTATGCTGTTATAGACTGATTGCCAGGAGTGTAAGCCGCTTGGGTGCTTTTCCTGTTCAGCTGCTAGCACCTATTCGTGAGGATCCAGTTCAGGAGTTTGGAGTGCTACTTTGTATCCTGTTCGGGAGTTTGGGTTTCTGCACTAGCTGTGCCTGTGTCTCTGGAAGGGGAAGATTTTCGACACGGTGGTTTAACCCCTTTTATGCCTAGGGGTGCCGTTACACCTTAGTTCAAGGGTGTGATACAATCCTGCGTGCTGGATCAACTATAATAATGACAATCAATATGTGTTAATTTGTTTTTTGCAGATATACAGCTGTATGCCATTTTTGTGTATTTATATACCTGACAACAACCCAGAACCAGATGGCTTTTCGGGACTTTATTATAAAACCTTCACTCAAGTGCTTATCACACACATGTGTAAACCTTTTAACTCATTATTGCAAGGTGAACTGCTACCACCTGATTTGTTACAAGCGAATGTATGCTCACTCCCCAAACCTAACAAATCACATATGGACCCTGCTCATTCACAACCTATTTCATTGGTAATGTAAATATTAAAATATTCACAAAAATATTGACAAATCGAATACAATCTTTTCTTATGAGACTTATTCACTATAAACAGGTGGGGTTTATCCCACACGTCAAGCATATGATAACACACAAAGAATGTATGACCCATCCCCACCCTCTTTATCTCACTCGACGCACAGAAAGCATTTGATAGACCCCTATTGCCATTTTTATTCACTACAAAGTGCACATTTGTATTTCTGGATCCTTCTCTATGCTTTCTCTTGCATCTATAGCAATTCAGCAGCTAAACTCCTTATCCCCCCTCACACTAGACCTCATTTATAATGACACTCAACAAGGTTGCACTCTTTCACCTTTACTCTTTGCCTTCTCTGCAGAACCCTTTCTGCAACTAGTAAGGGATAATCCTGTATTTGCTGGAATTACAATCCGTGGTCAAAAGTACAAAATAGTTGCATATGCAGATATCCTTTTAACATTGGGTGAATCCAACTAGGGGAAATAAAAACAGGACATAGTGCAACTCTGTAGAACCCTGATAAGGTAATTATTAGTGCCAATGAGTCACTCACACTTTCATTGAATAAAAAGGGCATTCAGCAATCATAGAAGATCTCAAGATGTGTCTCTCTCTCAATGGTTGATACTGCAGGTCTCAGCAGCATTTAAAACAAAGTGCATCCAAAATAAGGTGAAAGTAGATTGGAGTATGGTATAAAAATATTTATTACTTACACAGAAGTAAAATTCAGTCAGCATCAAATACAGATAAAATCTATCCAATGTGTTTCACCACACTCAGGGACTTCCTCAGGGACTGCTTCTTGTTCAAAAAACAGATAAAAAAGATGCATTTGAACGAGAAGCAGTGCCTATGGACCCTGCAGGTGTTAATCCCCAGGTAGTGGCTCATGAAGCAAACCCTGATTAATAGATCAACTAACCCACCAACCCAATCTCTTAGCCCTATACCTGATGGTGCGGAATCCTCCACCCACAGCAGTAACTCAAATTCCAACCAACCCATACATTACAAGGGGGATCCCTCTAAATGTAGGGGCTTTCTTAATCAGGTCAGCATTTTGTTAGGGCTGTGTCCCAGAACATACCCCACTGACAGGGCCAAGATACGCTTTATCATAACCCTGCTCATTTATAGAGCTATTGTTCAGGCAAATCTGCTCTAAAGAGAATACTCCCTTAGTGTATGACTACTCTCAGTTCTTAGAAGCTTTCAGGAGAGCTTTTGAACCACCAGACAGGAAAGCCAATGCTGTTAGAACTCTTGAGACCAAAAGAGGGCAACCGTTCTCTCATGGATTAGGCTTTGGACTTTCTTTCACTAGCGTCAGAGATATGGTGGAACAACCATGCATTTGTGGATGTGTTCTTAATGGTTTATCTGATACCCTATTAGACGAGGTAGCCACCAGGCATCTACCAGAAACTTTATAAGAGCTCATCACTTATCTTAGGCATATAGATGAAAGGCTCAGGCACAGACAAAATACCAGAGAGAGAGCCAGAAGACTATCTATCAGATTAGCTCCCACCTTCCCCTCAGATTCTATGGCAGTGGCTATCCCAGAACCCATGCAGTTGGATATGATGAGATTTTCTGAGGCAGAGTGCCAACATAGAAGGAGAAAAGGCTTGTGTATGTACTGTTGCAAGAGAGGACATCTCTGTTTGTCATGTCCAGAAAACTACAGAGCCTAAGGTCCTATAAAGGACTTGGGTGTACTTAAAGAGTCCATAATTAAACAAGAAAAAAAGTTTCTACTACCTACCACCTTGAAATGGGAAGGAAAGGTAGTCCATATGCATGCCGTTATAGATTCTGGGGCAGTAGAAAACTTCATAGAGGCCATAGATGGTAGACCCCTTGAAGAACCCACCATTACTGAGGAATCTATTCCGGTTCTTATGATGGTTGAAGTTCTTCATAAGGAAGTTGTTGTTTTGCAAACAATTTCATCTCCCTCTTTTCCTATAGTGTTGGGTTATCCTTGGTTATACAAACATATCCCAGAGATAAAAAAAATTTGATGTGTACAGGCACTCTTCTATCCCTGATGGTGCTAGGTATCAAAGTAGCCCACAACAATTACCTTCAATACATATAATAGAACATATGATACCGCACTCTATATTAGATACAAAGCAAAAATTATTATTTATTGTTCTGCCTATTTTCAGTCAGATCTCTCCTAAAATCAGTGGAGTATACAAATATGGCAACATATGATATATAACAAATAGCTTCTTATATTGCAACTATGTGATCACAACCATGTAACACCTTAGGCGATATGCCTAAACAACACAAGATAAATAAATAAAATATCCCCAATCAAAACTGACTCTGTGTCAGTGTTAATAGTGTGCATGAACACTATATGGATGAGAGCCCTGTATATAATCAATAATTGTTGTCTACAATTGTTGATTATATATAGGGCTCTCATCCATATATAGTGTTCATTCACACAATTAATCCTTTTTTGAACCCCCTGTAGTCAATACAGAGGGTAATCTCTGTATTGACTACAGGGGGTTCAATAAGATCACTGTACGTAATGTTTATCCTATTCCCTTGATCACAGAACTGTTTGACCGGCTGAAAGGTTCCAGAATCTTCACCAAATTAGATTTACGAGGTGCATATAATTTGGTGAGGATCAAAGAGTCAGGAAACTTACAACTCAATTATTTCCCAGGTACAGAAAAATATAACAATTTTTAAATACCCCAAAATTACAAAATTACCCCCAAAATCCATGGAAACCCCTCGAGAGTCACATCCCAGATAGCTCGGATCTGAGTGCTTAACATATCCAAAAAGTACTCACATCGGTTAGCTGGTTTGGAATTTCCATCGAGGTAGTTTTGACCAGCTTGCCACGAGGTAGAAGCCCAAAATAGTTCCAGAAAAATAATAGAGAGGTACTGGTGCCTGTGTTCGGGAGACAAGATGGCCGCCATCCATTCTGTCGACCATGTGCGTTCGGTTACACGAAATGGCGCCACCCAGGGGAGTATTTTAGTGATAGTTTCCGTTGTGATTTTGCACTGTATATTTTGTATTCCATATTCTAATTAGATGTTGGGGTGGTCTTCGTTCAGGAACCGAACTTGGGAGGTTTCGAATGAGCAAACGAACGGGAAAATGAATATTACCGTACCAAGTGATATGGAGCATTCCTTCACAGATGATATCTCAATTTAGTTTGATTATTCAGATCAATCACCACTGAAACGTGTTGGTAAAATTGTGGGAATAGGGGTACCCATATCCACGTATGGTGGCATTGTCCATAAATAACCTCATTATGGAACAAAAGTAGCAAGTTTAGCTTCACTTACATACAATGCCAGTAGACTTCTGGGTTTGGTTGCTAACAAAACCACTGGAATAACTTATCAGAACACAGAACAAATTATTAGCTAAAATCGCATTATCTACAAGAAGAGCCATTGCTGAGAAATTTGGGGTTGCTGAATATCTAGATCAAAAAGCAGTGACACATAAGACCAGAGAAGTGAAGGAAATGGACAAACTCACAGCATTAGTTCATAACACCTCTTAGCATTTTTATAAAATCTGGGACCCTTGGTTGGCAGATCCTCAAGTCTGTTCATAAGTTAACCCTTACTACCTTAACTCCCTCTCTCCCCTAAGCCTGCACTCCGTCCCCCATTCTACCCCACTCTTTCTATCATGAGTTGCTACCTCTACATCTTGCCTTACACACCCTACTCACACCCAATGTGGACCTTTTTTTTTTTACTACTCTAGAATGCACTCTTCTAATGGAGATAAAACTCTAGTTCCATCTTAGGAATCAACTGAAATGCCTTTAACTTGCATTATAAATATGTGAATAAAAATGACTAGCTACTACATATTTTGTATTATATTCTTTTTAAAATTCTGTTCATTGTAATTGTTAAACAATGATGGATCTTTTTTGTTCTTTGTATGTTGTAACTAACTTTTGCAATATTTTTCTTTTGTGCTGCATAATCCAAAATTAAATAAATGCAAAATGCTCAAGGGTGTTCAAAAAAATCTTGCAATAAAAATCTGTTCATTAATTGTACGACCGAACTGCACCTCCAGATACTATTACCCAATGACAACCCTAAAAGATAGGGCAATATAACAACCCCTGCAAAGCCAATGACTGACATCAGAAACCTGCTAATATTTTGTTTTTCAAAACTGTCTTGACATGATTAGTTTGTTCAGCCTTTAAGGTTTCTTTTGACCCCATGGGCCAGCCGCCATGGAATACACTACAGACAACAAAAAGGAATTCTTATTTAGATGGATATAATGCTAGCTAAGAAAACATTTGCAGAGACTTCCAGTGACCAATAAAAATGTATGCAATACTATATTTAACCAGTATCTAAAATATTTCTCTTTTTAAACCATAAAATAAATGTTAAGTGCTTTTTGACACATCAGCAATCAGTGTCCCATTACATTCCAGTACAGGTTTTTTTTCAAGTCTTGAATGTAACTATTTTTAATTATTGAATGACATTCCATAAATTCCTGCTCATCGTAGGTTTATGGAATATATGATTGCTCCCACTGAGAACTACTGATATCAAGGGGGGTATGTGCCTGCTGGCTTATAAAGTAGATTTATACCCTTTATTGCTGGCAGTGCATAATTGGAAACCTGGACAACAGCTTTAGTCTCAGAGGCTATCCATCACAGATCTTTGCTATAACGCTATTATAGAGAGTGGGTGAGAAGACCGGAACTACTCACATAAGACCTATAATTTCAGTTAATGATAAAATTAATCTAAATCACAGGTTCTGGTTTCGCTCTTTAGATCTTTCATGTATCTGGCCTACAACAAAGCAAATAGTTTTTTAATAATTTACCAACATTTACTTGAAACAAGCTTTGTAAATACTTGACTGCTGACCCAACCAATCCACCACCAACCACCCGTTGCCCCCCAATAATACTCAGGACACCTCGTTCTAGTGAATAAGGGCAACAGCCACAGCTTGATTTAAATTAACAGTTTAAATCAGTCCAAATCTGCCAGCTGTTGGGTGTTTGCCCAACAGGCAGTTCTCACGCGCATTTTGCACCATGAGCCTCGACAGCCAGCTCCTTGCCATCAGCTCCGTGCCGGCTGTTGTCTCCCCAATGTTCCTTTCTTCCTCTGCGCTGTCCAGGGAAACCGTCACCGCAATGCCCCTCCTTGCGCACTACACTGGGCATTGTGCCCCCCCCCCGCCGACAACACGTCCTCAATCCCAGCTTGCAGGCCCATGTTAAAGATGTCCAAACCAATGGGGGACAGGTGCACCCCATCCCATCTCATCAGAGCGTCATTGTCCCCTTCCAACTCCACATGTCTGACTACTACACCACCCAGGCGGTGCACGAACCGGGACATGGTCATATTGACCTTCCGCCTATAACGCTCTAGGGCCTTACCCTTGCCCTCAGTACGCCAAACCGGGTGAGGCACGATCTCGGACCAGACAAGGGTCAGGTCCCCAAACAATGCAACACAGCGGGCCACATCATGCCGCATCGCGTGCACCAGGTCCACTGACCGTCGTCAGCCGACATTGTTCCCGCCCACGTGAATCACCAGGGTCACCGACCCCGACACGTAACGCCGGAGCTGAATCAGCTCCGCACATAGCCCGTCCCAGGTCAGCCCCCTGATACCTCTCCAACGTACCCTGGCTATGTCATACGGGAAACCGAGGTTCCGGCCATAGGGTCTACACTCAGCCCGCCTAGCTGCCCAATACACGAAGGAGTGCCCGTTGATCCAAATAAAATGCGGGGAAGAACCTACAACGAAATAACAAAACCATAACAACGCTGCGCTGATGTCCTAAAGCAAGTGATGGCGCACATAGAGCTGAAACCGCCCCGACCGCCATCGCCCCAACCGCTTGAGGGCCTCCGATGGAAGACCCAGCATACTCGCCTGAGTCGCCGCTGCAATCCTGAAGGAATGCGTAGTATACCGTCCGGGGGACAGACACATACTTACCACCCAAGACCGAAGAACCCTGGCGAATTCAAAGCAGCTGAGGGATGACCCATCGCTATGCCTGAACAGGGACCCTGCTCTTAACCCGCGTACCTCCAAAAACTCCCGCAACAACCGAATCGGACAGACCTCTCGATCAATAGCCTTAATCCGAACTGAAGCACCCACCCCTGATTGGTCCACCTTTGACCTCCGCATGACCAACGTAGCGTCCCTCTGCGAAACATGGATATCTACCAGCAGTAGGGCAGCTGGCACCCGCGTACTCGGGGCCACCAACTCGCCTACGCATAAGGCCGCAAAGAAACACAGTGCAAAAGTGGCCCTAAACAGTAACACTTCATAGTGTGACGCACATATTTGCGGAAGCCGCTCCAAGAGGTTACACAGTATCTCATAGGAAATCGTATGCTGGGCGTCCGGCCTGCGGTCCCGCTTCCACCCCTTCATGACCCGTGTGACACAGAACGCCTTGGTAGCATCCTGCCACCCACACCATTGAAACAGAAAAGACCAGGCTGCTAACGCTCTGTCAGCTGCCGCTGCTGACTCCAACAATGCAAGCATGGCCGACAACCTACCTTCCTCTGAACACACGTCCCTAGCATTGCAGACCCCCGTCCAGCTCCGCCACACCGCAGCGTACGACCTCCATGTGGACTCCGCCAAGGACCCCCTCACCAACCGGATCAAATTGTGGAAACCAGGTCCCAAATACCCGACCGGGCACGAGATTCCAATCCGATCTGCCTCTGGAGCCGCCTTTCGAAACTGATCCCACTGAAACCGAGAAAGAGAGTCGGCTATCACATTCCGTACCCCAGGCACATGCCGCGCAAACAGCCACAAATTCCTCTCCAAACTAAGCAAGACTAACTGCCGTAGCAGCGACAAACCGGGGGGGGGGGAGGGGGAGGACGTGGACCGGTTGATCACATGGACCACACTCATGTTGTCCGTGTGCACCACCACCTTCCGGTCAGTGAACTCCAAACCCCAAAGTTCCACCGCCACTACTATGGGGAATAGCTCCAGGAACGTGAGGTTACCCCCCAATTCGGTCACCAGCCAGTGGCGGGGCCAGGCTTCCGCACACCAACGGTCTTGAAAATAGGCTCCAAATCCCACCGTTCTGGACGCATCAGTGTACAACTCCAGATCCGAGTTGGACACCGCCAGGCGCAGCCAGCGAGATTGTCCATTGTACCTACCCAAAAACGAGCTCCAGACTTGCAGATCCTCTCGATGCCTGCGGGTGATCCGAATGAAGTGGTACGGCTGCTTGACTCCGACCGTCGCCAAGGACAGGCGCCGACAAAAAGCCGTCCCCATCGGTAGCACCTGACAGGCAAAGTTCAGATGCCCTAGCAAGGCCTGTAGTTGCCGGAGCTGCACCTTTTTCACACCTTTTACCGAATCTACCAACCTCAACAGGTGAGACAATTTCTCATCCGGCAACCGGAATACCATATTCCGCGAGTCCACTTCAATACCCAGGTAGGACAAGACCCCTACCGGGCATACCGTCTTTTCCTCCGCTATAGGCACGCCAAACTCCGATGCGACGGCTCTAAAGGAATCAAAGAGCCCCAGGCAATCATCCAACCCCCGCGGGCCCACAAACAAGAAATCATCTAAATAATGAGTTAGCGACGTCAACCCGGAAACCCGCGCCACCACCCATTCTAAAAAGGACGCGAACATTTCAAAATATGAACAGGAGATAGCGCAGCCCATTGGCAGACACATATCAAAGAAAAAGGAGCCCTGAAACTGGCAACCCAACAGGTGAAAACAGTTTGGGTGAACCGGGAGCAGCCGGAAAGCGGACTCAATGTCCGACTTAGTAATAGAAAAAGGTACTAAAAGCAACAAGTGCCAAATACACACACCACTCCCTGTGTATCAAAACAGGCAATAATAATACTTATACATGTACAGGTACATATAGGAGATGGTCCATATAAAAACCTATAAAGATAAAAAATAGTACATAGTATAGCCTGTATATACAGAAGAAGGAAATATGGAAGTGATTGAATACACTCACGGATTTCAGAGCCGTGCCAGGCTCTGTATATGGTGCCCAAGGGTGCCTCAGAAAGCTCTGTGGAGAATCTTGAATAATATCCCCCAGAAGTAGGAAAAAACAGCAGCAGAAGGATGAATAAAAAATAATAAATTTATTGTAAGTAAAAATTAAAAATTAAAATAGTAACTGTGCAGGTCCCATATGGTGACACACAGAATCACAGTCATGCAGACGCATTTCAACTCAGTCCGAGTTTTCATCAGTGCATAAAACATCCAGCTGCTGTTCCATTTTAAAATCACTGCTTATTCTAATTGCCGGTCACATGGGCGGAAGTTCGAGTGGCCGGCGTCTGACGTCACTTCCGGTATTTCAGCATTCATTTTCCTGCTTGATTGTATTCAATGCATTTGCCCAGTTGAAGCTGAAAACTCCATGTAGAGAATGGGCATATTGTATGATTATTAGAATGC